CATTTTTGCAAAGAAATTTATATAGTAAAAGAAAGGTTTTTTAAAGATATCTCAGCACCCACCAGGCTGATTTTGACGTTCTAACTACCATTGGATATGTTTTGACAAGCTTTACAAAAGTCTCTTAAGTTAAAAAGATGATTAATTTAGTATAAAAAAAAGTTTTAGATTCATGCAGGCCACATTCGTGCTATAGTAAATTATATAGTAATCTGAGTCATATTTTACTATGATACTCTCTGGCTTACTCGTGGACTCCCAATTAAACTTTTTTGAATCATGCAAGCAAAAATAGAAAATTAGAGAAGCAATAACTTATATTTCAGAATCATGGAATGAAGTTGAAACATCAACAATTGTGAAGTGCTGGGTGAAAACTGGAGTTCTTCTGGTATTTTCTGATGACAAAATTGAAGATTTTACTCTTGCTCTGCAAGATTTAGCAGATTTTGAAAAGGATGAAAATGATGAATTGATCATTGACCTAACAAGATTATCGGACCCGACAATTGAATGAGAAATAAATAATTTTGACAATTTAAATAATTCTCAAATACTTACAGAGAATATTCTTGACGAAATGCAAATTGTAAATATTATTATTGATATTACTTGACTTTTCTTTTTTGTATTTTCTTTTGTTATTTGTTTTTATTTTGATATTAGTTTTGTATTATTTAAAGATAGTTTTAGTATTTTTAGTTTATTTAGTTTTATTTAGTTTTGTTTATTTTATTTTGTTGATATGTTTATTTGTTTATTTGTTAGCTAGTTATACGTTTATTTGTTGTTTTTCTTATTTGTTTATATAGAAAAAGAAAGTCACAGAATATTATAGAAAGATTTGAAGAGTAAAAAAAAGTTATAGAAAGTCACAGAATAATTTGAAAATATTATAAACAATTTAAAAACAAAACAAAGAGTCGCGTAATATATAAAACACCTCAAACACCAACTAAAAAACTATGAGTACTACATAAACAAAATATTATTGGTTCTTCTAAACACCACATTTGATTTTGAAGATTTGAGCTCTAAAAAAGATATAAATATAATCTTTCTCCTACTTCTTGAAAAAGAAAGAATTGAAAAACAAAAATAAAAACACTCTTGTAATTCCTTCTACAATACAACCTTTATAAATATATTCTTCTTTAAAAATATTCTTTTGATAATACTTTTAAAACTCCTCTTAAATATTCATATTTTTTGTTAAAACACCACTTCAATATTTCTATATTTTATTATTTTTACCCCTAGGCAACCTCTTGTCACTTTTCTTTATCATTTTCTTTTTATTAAATGGTTTCTAGTTGGAATTTGAATTTTTGTTTAGTTGATTGTGTTTTTATTTGTTTTTGTTTGTTTAACTGGTGCCTTATTTGATAAAGAGAAAACCTTCTGCTACCAACAACTTGCAAATTAATAAAGAATCATCACAACAATATTGTATTAGATAAACAATGTGAATATGAAGAAGGTAATATGAGTGACACCAATAAGGAGCTGTTTGAAGTTTCTATTATAGAGAGATTAAATGGTCTAAACAAATTTGTTAGCTTCTTCGAGCAACAAAAAAGCAGTGACTTTAACATAGAGGATTTGAAGATTTTCGGAAAATATGTGCCATTAATGGGAAGAAAATATGTGAAATTAATGAAGCAGAAATCAATTTCTGATTTTTTCTTACCTGTTTACAATTATTAGCAGGTTGATTTTTTTTTGAAACAAAAATTTAATTTTTTTTGAATATTTTTTTTTTTTTGATCAATTTTTTTTTACGCCTGTTAGAAAATTTTTGGGTTGTTTTTTATAGAACAGTATCAATTTAATGTAATCAATATTAGGCAATTTTAGTGCCAAATTGTTCATAATCAGAAATCTGTAAATAATCTAATATCTTATTAGGTCTAAACTATTTTAATAAATTACACGAAAGTAAAATATTGTTTTTGGTTTTACTATTTAGCACTGCTTTATTTACTCAGGATTTTATTAAAATATTCAAACTTTTATTAATTACTTTACTAAATTTTGCAAATTAAACTTGGTAAAACATTTCTAAATTTTATCTAATTTATTGACAAAATTAAGCCACTTAATATTAATAATAATGAACTTTCTAATTTTAAGATTTTGCTAAAATTGGTAAAACTTACTAATTTTTTTAGCAAATTTTAGTATTTTAATATCATTTTAATTTGAAATTATTTACAAATTTATTTACATTGAAACAAGATCAAACTAAAGGCAATATCTGAGTAGGCAAATAATGAAGAGATAGAACTTTTAGGTTTGGTAGAAACTAATGCAAGTGAAAAAGATCTTAGATTTAGCTTAGAAGGGATTAGTATGAGAGGGTTTTGGTCACAAGGTGAAATTTCAAAGCATAAAGATTCGGGGGTAGGACTATTAGTGAGTCCAAGATGGGAAAAACATTTAGGTCAAGTTACGAGATTTATGAAATACTTATTAGAAGCATAGTTCTACTTCAAACAAGTAGTAGTAGTCATATTAGTAGTTTATCTCCCTTTAAATGACAAAGACGTAGTTAAAAAGATTCAACAAAAGATCATAACAAGTTTTATGGAAAGAACAGACAAGATGCACTTTGTTATAATGGGTGATTTTAATTATATAGTTAATAGAGAATTAGATAAATCTAGTTTAGAAAATACAGCAAGTTTCAAGATATTACCGCTCTATAAATAGTTTCAAAATCAGGGCATTGTCAACACATTTAGAGCAATCAATCCAGATACTAAGAAGTTCAAATAGTCTGGGCAGGGAGTTGAAACAAGAATTAACCAAATTTGGGTGTCTGAAGATCTTTGATATAGTGTCCAAGAGGCTAATATATGTGAAGCAGATGTTATAACAGCAAGCGATCATGCAATAACAACTTTATATATCTCGCTTAAACATCTAATCAGAACTCGCAGTAAGGCAAGAGAAAGAAAAAGAAAAATCTCTAGATTGATATATTTGTATAATGAAGCAACAAAAGATGATTGAAAGAGCTATCAAGAAGATCTCGAGAGATTTATTATAGGCAATCAGGGACTTGCCAAGTGTTGAATTCCAGCTACATATAATAGGCTCAATATAATATAGGACATTATATCTGGTGCAATAAGGTGTGTAGCGAGTAAGAACATCCCAAAGAAAAAGATACCTGGCAGTACATATGGGATCGCCTACAGCAAAACAAGGCAGTGGGATAATCATCTGATTTTGAGAAAATCGCATTTGAAAATTGGCATGTGATTTACAAATGATTCGGCATTATCAACAAAGAATTTTTTTTTTTTTATTAAATTTTACAGCAATATGTAAAATTATAAAAAATATTGTTCTTTGCACTTTCATTTATTTAATATTTATTTTTTTACCATCGCCATTGTTATTTTTTTTTGAATAAATATCGATCCTTAACGTTGAGTTTTTTAAACCATTTTTTTATTTTAAGTGTTATCCATTAAGTACTTATTGTTATTGTATTTTAAAGTAAATATTGCTTATTTATTTATTATTTATTTATTTATTATTTATTTATTTGTTATTTATTTATTTATCGTTTATTTATTGAGGTAGTACGTATATAAAAAAATTTCACCACCAGCTAGAACTTGATTTTTTCTTGAAATTTTTAGTTTGACAATCAAGTTTATTCCGGATTCTACTTTTTAACTTTATTTGATTTTTAATAGCGCAAAAACCAAACTTGTTTTACACTAAATTAGGATAAACTGAACTCTGTTATTTACGTTGAGTTCAGCACAAATCTAATACTACAACTAATAAAACTATTATGAAAAAAATTTAGCTTATTTTTTTATCCTGAATTTTTGGTTCAGGACAAGTAATGTTGCGGAAAGGTAAATCAATATAAGGAGCGATTTCTCTATATAATTCTTCCTGTCTCTTTTGAGAAAGTGGTTTGGCATCAATTGTAGGGAGTGGGGTATCGGTATTAAAAGAAAAGAGACGAATTGTAAAACTTTCATAATTATCTTGAAGATCATCTTTAAAAAAGACGATTCCAGTGTGTTGCGAAGTAAAATAAAAATGATGGTACTTTTGAATATGGGGTAATTTTTTGAATGCTTGAAAGTAATTTTTAAAATCATAATATTGAAAGCCTTCTCCATTAAGATAACGTTGAGCAACGTTAAAATTAATTCTTGTAGAACAATTAACAATTGAGATTACATCTTCTACAGTATTGACCTTGCTTTTTTGGTAGAGAATTTTGATTAGACCAAAACAACTATCACATATAAATTTAGTGTGTCCTGGAATCATAAAATTTAACTCAACTTCATCATACATCTTGTGATCGACTAACTATAAATAAAAAAATAATAAAAAATTATTCTTGTTCTGATCTATACAATTATTACATGTAACAGCCAACTTTTTTCTCCCACGATTATATTTAAGAATTGCATGCCAGACCAAGCTTAGAGTGCAATTCACGCCTTTACCTTGCTTATCATCGTCGGGCATTTCAGCTTCATCAATAACATAATTTGTTTGTTGCATATGTGGAAAATTACCAGTGTTACAAACACCGAATAAATGTACTTTTCATAAACTTTTAAAAAACAAAGCACCTATTTGTTGTGGTGAATGAGGTATTTGCACGTTTTGAGCCCAATCGTATGCAATATGGGCACTACCACTAAAACTTTTAAATAATATTTGAGAGCTGACTACATTTGGATTGTGTTTGCTATCTTCAACTGCATTTATAATGTTAGCATTATAGTAGTTGTTCTTTTTGTACTCGATTTAAGTGGGCCAAGTAACTATTAGTAAGCTCTAATTTTTTTTCATATTGTGAAGCATATCTAATATCCATTTTCATTATTTCACACATTTCACATAAATCAGTTTTCGAGAACATAAATTGAAGTGACGGCATTAATGATTTCCAAATATTAGTAAAGGTTGATTCAGCCAAAATACGAGCATTCTTACTATACTTATCTTTACAAGCCTGTATGTAGTTGCGATATACTAATGCATAACTAAAACTTGTTGGAAGAAATACAGTTGGCATAGTAATTTTGTTACAGTGATGTTCAGGTGAGGGCATACCATGTATGTTAGAATAGTTTTTTAAAAACTTAAATATGTCACATGCCAAATCATAATTAACCTCAATACGATTCATATTTTTAGAAGCTCTACCGGTATTGCCATGTATACATTCTTCAAGGCCGTGCTCTTGCAAATGCTGTTTAATATTCTTTAAATATGTAGGACCAACTCCAACAAGATTTAAATATGTATCAAGACACACTGGAATATTATGATTATAACAATAGTTAAAATGTAAATTTTTTCTATTATCATTAGTAACCTTATCTGTATTTTCATTTCTTTGAAAAGCTAGAAGTTGCCCTTTATCTTGCATATTTTTCTCTAAACTTTCAAATTCAGCTCGATGCGCAAGAAATTTTTCATACCTGATTTTCTCAAAACAGGATTGTTTAGAATGGTATGAGCACTGACCTTTATTAAAAAATTTTTTAATTTTTAATTTTAAATCATCGTAAATTTTATCTTCAATGTAATTGTCTGGAATGTCTACAAAGTTAAATTCATTTAATTTATTTAAAGGAATATTAGGAAAATTGTCATCCGATATTGATTCATCGTCTAATACAAAGTTAGATTCTTCGCCTTCAGAATCTGAATAATCAGCAAAAAAAGTATCATCTAACTCTTTCAATGCAGATAAAATGACTTCATTTATACTATCGTCATGAGAATGTATATTATATTCCATACTTTTAAGATAAAAAAAAAACAATAAAAGTTCTTTAATTTTTAAATTCTTCACATCTGTATAATTATGTACGTACATACGTACATACGTATTGTACATACATACGTATACGTACGTACTTTATCAAAATGCTACATTACCCAAATTATCTCTTGCTTCTGCATTTTACAAGTTCAAGTGTGTAATTCTATGGCATTTATGTATGTAAATAGTTAGTTATCATAGCATTTAAGAAACACGATTTATGCTTAAAAATATATACAGCTGTAAATCATTGTATGTAGTATATATGTTAATCGATTTTTTACCATAACAGTAACAAAGAAAAAAAATTAAATTCGTACACATTTTACTAATATATTCAGCAAAAAAAAATATATCCTTATAAAGACAAGACTCTTAAGTAAATGATTGGCATAAAATCTTAAAATCTGATTGGTCTGCCCACTGGTTCGTTTTGCTGTGGGGGTCCCATTTGATAATTTTTTTATTTGAATTTTATTAATCTATAAAAGTTAAATAAAAAAAAATCCATCGAATTTGGTCTGGTGGTAGTGAAGATATGAATCGGCAGATTCTCAATTTTGATTGGCTAAGAGCAACGATCAAAAAATTAGGCTGGAATTACTTATTATTTTACTAATGAATTCATAGCCGCCCATTACAGCTATTTTCATAAATTCTGGAACAACTGATAAAAATTTGGCTGAAATTAATTTGGTCAAATTTGATAAGTTTTTAATCTCGGTTATACAAGCTTTGATTTCAGTATGATCTTTTGATTTTTGATATGATCAATATATAAAGAATTTATTTATATATTACATATACTACTTATTCTTGCATATGATAAAAATATCTTTATTAAGCTTTTGTCCTAATGCTTGTCCAATTTGTATGACATGTTTAGTTTGTACAAAAACCTATAGCAATGATTGTTCTTGCCAACAAGTAGATTTGCACTTGAAACGCAAAAGAAGTTCTGATTATAAATTAAACTTTCTTAATAAACATATTATACAGGTGGGTGCTTGCAAAAAGAAGGTCAAATATGATCAAAAATTCGTTGATTGGTTTAGAAGAAATATAACTCAAGTTGAGATTGCAAAGAATGAAGATTTTGTTAATATTTGCTGAGAATGTATTGAAAAATATAATCAGCATTATCAAAGTAAATATTCTTTATTAGAATTTTTATTTTATTTTTATTTAAATACATATTAATGTTAAATTTTTTAGAGCAAAAAGAAAACTAGTATGAATTGAGTGAAGTTATTGAATTAAGTAAAGTTATTGAAGCAGTAGATTTAACAAGCAAAGAGCTATTAGAACCATTGGGTTGTTCATCTTTAATAAATTTTCTGGAGTTGTCTGATTTATCTGAAGTAACAAGTGATGAGGTTACGAAGTTGAAAATTATTAAAGAATTTGTGATTAGTAAGCATATTATTTATATTATAATCAAAATAGTTAAAAACTCTTTCTGACGATCACTTGGACCAAAATTACCAACTAAAAGAAGAAATAAGAAGTCTGTTGGAGAGTTGTATAAACTATTAAAACAGTTTGTAGAAAGGTTAACTGGCTCTAGGGACTCCTTTCTACATTCGACATACAAGCCAGAAGCCTTACCAAGTGATAGTGAAGAAAGCAGGTGGTGCTTATTACTCAAGAATAAATTTTGGTAGATTTATCTGTCGACGAAGTTCTATAGTTTACTGTTCTAAAGGTTTACAGTAGTGGTTTTTAGGGTACAACAAAGTGGTTAACCTTTTTCTTGGGGACTCCCTCCTATATTCGACATGCAAGCCAGAAGTCTAGAAACAGAAGTGAAAAAGCAGGTGGCACTTACTGCGAATAAAAAAAATTTTGGTAGGCACAGACCTGTCGACGAAGCTACAAAGACCTTGGAACCCAGGTATATAACAGTTATCTTATTTTTCTCAAGCCACACTCTTTTATTTGGCCAAGTGGTTCCTTCTTTTACTTTTATTTGCCTTCTTGTTGGTCTTCCAAAAATTTTTGCAAAAAGTAGGAGATTTGGCTTACCCCCTTCAAAAGATCGGCATTGTTTACTTTCCAAATTCAAACGGACTCAGTAGAATGTAACCACGTGACGTGTCTGTTTACAAATACGGCACTACTCTGAAGAAGTCGGATCGGGACCTCCAGTTAAAGAGATATCCGAAAGCGGTCATAAGTCAGAAGAAATCCATACGCTAAGGCAAAGCTTTACATTAGAGATATACAATTGTTGCATTTGTTATATAATTTTTTAGCCTTGCACAGATTATAATAGTGCATTCTGGTCATGTAGAGAGGTGAAATTCCTCTTAAATTATTATCTTTTTTCTATAAAATGTTTTTTTTATTTTTTTTGTTTTTTATTTTTTGGGGTTTTTTTTATTTTTATATTTCGTTCATTTCCCCTATTCCCCCTTTCATATCTCCTTTTAGTCATAGGTCATTTTCTTTTTTATAGATTTTTTGATAAGATAATTCTGGTTTGTCCACGAACTGGTGCAATGGGTTGCATTTAGAACCATAAGGTAACTGAATGAAGTTGGGCTCTGAGTTCTATAAATTAAATATATATAGTTCTTATACACATTTTAATAAAAAGCAAGCCACGGCAAAACCTGTGAAGATTAAAAAAAAAAAAATTTCTAACAGTAATTGTCTTAAACGTGTATTTAAAAAGCTTTGCTATTTCACATCTACAAATGAGATTAATTCATATTTAAATAGTCCTATTGTTGATAGTAAAATAGATATATACCAATAGTAAAAAATGTATGCTGTGGAGTTTCCAAAATTAGTGGTTATAGTACATGATTATCTTGCAGTACTAGCAACAAGTACACTATCCAAGAGATTATTTTTTAAGAGCTCGGGTATAGATACTACAAAGCGTGGATTTTTAAATCCAGAAATAATTCAAAAATCAATTATACTTGGTAATTGAATAGATTGAAAGATGTTAATATTATATTAATTTTTTAATATACTGTATTTTATTATAAGGTAGAAAGAGATATTCTATCTTTTAAATATTGATCACCTAAATTTGATTCTAAAATTAACTCATATGCTATATCATTATAATAAATTATCTTCTATCATGAGTTCTGTACATTTATTATTTTTATTATTATTATTATTTTTTATTAATTAATTTTTTGTATCAATACTAATCAAATTAAAATAAAAATCAAATTATAGTTATTTTATCTATTAAAGTTTAAAATTAAATTACTAATAATGTTCGAACTTTGTATTCATTCTTTTATATTGATTTCTTCTTTATATTAATGACCAACCATAATTATTTTATAATAATAAACTATGTTGTAACAACAGTATTATTTACTGAAATGTTCTGGTGGAAATTATTGTCATAGCTCTCACTAACTACATGGATCTTTATTATCAAAATTACTCAACACACCACCCATTCAAGCCAAAGTGGTTTTAACAAGTTTTTTTTCAATATTTATTTATGAAAGTGAAAAAGTAAAAAACTTAATTTTATTTTTTTCTAACTTCTTATATATATTTGATTAGACTACAAATTAATTACATCACAATGTTATTTATGTGTACTCCTTTAACTCTTCTTTAAAATTAATACATTATTAATAATCATACAATAATTTTAATAATTTTCTATTCCTATTACCTTATAATTAATTATATGTTATTTTTAACTATTTTTAATTATATATTTTATTATGCACATTAACTAATTACACTTAATTTTTGACTGACTCGATCCTTACTGAACCATGATTCCATCGATCATATACATGATCACAAGATTATATTTTTATACGCAAAACTTTCTAAACACAACAAATATTTATTCTCTTATATATTATATATTAAAGTTGTTTTTTTTCTATTCTTATTTACACTGTTATAATATTTCTCTTAAGGTCAATATTTTTCTATCATGATTTCATACACAATGTATCTAGAATATTGACCTTTGTTAAACTAATATTGACTATAACAATTATTAGAACTAAAAGTATAATTGCTTTCAGTAAATATTAAAATAGAAGTTCCTGTAATGTCCAGTGATTTCCAGTGACTTCTGATTGGCCAACTCAAATCAATTATTTGTTTGAATAGTGGTTTAACCAAAGATTGAGCTGGTTCATAGCAAGTACTCATATGATCACTTTTCTAAACTTTTCTCTAGGTTATTATTAGACACTATTAGACACTATTAGATATATAAAAGGTATATACTTATCTAATGATTTTTCTCTCTTTATTAATATTATCATTTAACTTTAAGC